TTCGCTCCCATTTTCCTCATGCCCCGAGAGCCCTCCTCACCGACAGAATTGGCAAATCCACAACCGCAGCAGATAGTTCGTCTTCTGCTCCAAGTGGCCAGGAGGGACTTGCCCTTTATAGAGCAAATGCAAACGAGTTGCTTCAGAGTGCCGCGACTTTTCCTACTCGACTGTCGTCGCAACCTCTTAGCACACGAGGTAAGTGAGTAAGCTGTAAAGTGGGGCAGTACAGTTAGAGCACAGTTTGTTCGCAGTATGGCATGCATGCGAGGGAGTAGTGTGTGAGTCAGGAGGTTCTAGATGCCCGAAAGGAAGGGCATCGGGGCCCCTATGATCGACAGTGTGTTCTGGTCCTCTGTCCTCACTTAATCACAGGAGTTGGATGATGTGTAGGCACGTGAATGGGATAGGACTAATCACCCATCTTCTTTTCTTGACAGAGAGATAATGACCCACCGCTGCAGTGCAGTCTACGGTACTGCATTCCATTGGGATCCGAAAATCCACCAATTGCCAGCTTGCAGCAACCGTTGAAGGCATCGGCACTAAGCTCTGGTGCTACCACGCCTACTTCAGTAAGTGTTCGTGCTATCGAGTGCCTTTGTTTCAAGTACCTCCGAGCTAGTCAAACCTTTCTTGGTTGCAGCAACTGAAAGGAAGTTATCAGCGTAAGCTATTCGGATCGGTGGGAAGTCCAGCACCCTCGACTCCGCCCCCAACTGATGAGACAAAACCCCCGACACCTCACACCACACCGGCTATCCTAAAGGTGAGTTATTGCGACAGAGGTGTGGATGTTGGCACAAGTAAGGAGTGGAGTTGATGCGGCCCATTTCCATGCTCTCTTCTAGCCCCTACGTACAATGTCTTTCAAGTTCCGAGTTAGACGAAGTCCTTTTAAGCGACGTCCGCTGAAGGCAATTCAGCTGCCAACGTTGTCGCCAGTGAAAGATGGCAACGATTGACCGATCTACAGCCTTACTCCATAGTCTCCTGATTGTACATACCTCCGACTTCTGTCTACCTTGGAGATGATCCCTA